CCCTGTATATCGGTCATGTTCATCACGCGATGCATAGGTATTGTACTTATATCGCTCCTTAAACGTTGTGTATATATTTGTATCTAGTAATATGTTCCGTAATTCTACTGCATTCCGAACATCTAAATTTAAAAAAGTCATAAAGCTGAAATAAACTATCTTCTGTTTATATTACATTCGCTTAATTGGATCTCACAAATTACATTTAATAATTTCATTAATGTCAAATAATTATTGACAAAACCTTTTAAAATTATTAGAAATAAAAATTTATTACGAATAGTTCAATTTGATATTAAAATAATAAGATAAATAATAAATATTATAGAGTTGTAATTACAATTATTGTTATGTACAATAAATTTCAAGCAATAAAGATATAGACACTATGGCGGCCTACGGCAGCCACAGGCGCCGGGCCCCCGGCAACCACGCGGTCACGCGCACCTGACGTTTAGCACAGGGCGCCCGGCCCCCGACATAAGCGCCTGGAGCTAGCCCCACTCCGGGCGGCCGCGCTAGTTCGCGGCGCCGCCGCTACGTGGCGGATTTTCTCGGGAGTGAAATTTAGTGACTACCAGTATATAAGGGAGGAAAATTATATTACCTCACACGACAAAGTAAGTTCAAATTTTTTAACACATGTGTTAAAAATTTTGCGTAATGGTGCAAGGCACCATATTTCGAAGTGAAGTGAAAATGCTTGCATTTTCCTCCCTTATATACTGGTAGTCACTAAATTTCACTCCCGAGAGAATCCGCCACGTAGCGGCGGCGCCGCGAACTAGCGCGGCCGCCCGGAGACCCCGGAGTGGGGCTAGCTCCAGGCGCTTATGTCGGGGGCCGGGCGCCCTGTGCTAAACGTCAGGTGCGCGTGACCGCGTGGTTGCCGGGGGCCCGGCGCGCCGGTTTCACGAAATGACGTAGCGCCGTAAACACCTCGGTCGAAGACAGTCTATTATTCGGCGCGGTTCAGTTGAGCGGCTGTTTCGCACGTCTTCGCGTCGCTCGCCGTAACGCGATCGTTTCCTACGAGAATCTCGATCGTATGAGAGTTAAGGCCTTCACACACGAATCTACTTAACACGTAACACGTAAACCGTAAGGAAATCAACAGATTGGATTTGCTACTGCTTGCGTTATTGCCTTACGTTCTCGACTGTGATGGTCGATTTTCTTACGTTTGCGTTTTACGTCCTTACGGAATTTTGTGTGTGAAGGCCTTTATTAACATTTATCAATCGCGTTTAAGTAAATGTTGCGATCCGTAGTAATATCGTTGATTTCCACGGTAATGCGTGGTCTACAATGCGAGTCGCAGAGTCGTAGTCGTAAGAATAATCGACTGCGATTGGTCAATTTCGTTCAGACACGTAAGAATTGACCAATCATAGTTGACTATTCTTACGACTACGACTTTACGACTTCTATGTAGACGAGGCTTAATTTGTCGAGATGAATATCGAACGTCGCGCGTGATTTGAAGAGAAAATGCGATGAAAAGCGCAAGGTAACGCACGAATCGTCGGGTAAAATGGTAACGAAGAATTTGTAATATATCGCTCGCGCGCCAAGAAATAATCTCTGGAACAATTATACGTACAAAAGTGCGCGTATAAGGAGCAACTTTACGGTAAATATTTTTTATTTAGTGAAAAATTAATCTTTCTTCCGGTTCATTTTTGACTCGATTAATTTCATAATTCAATATTACATTTTTATTGGGCAATCTTGGCCAATGTAATTTTGAAATTAATCCTAAAAATAGGCGTAGCATGAACGTGCACAAAGTGGAGACTTTATCGGCAGAGTCGGAAGATGCGTAGCAAACTAGTTCCAAGGTAAAAATGGGCGGAAAGGTGCCTTTTCATACGCAGCATGCAGCAGCAGCAAATTAGTCACGTGATCCAAATTCACTACAGCATATTTGCTGCTCACGGAAAAGGAATAGCTGCAGCAGCACTGGCCGGCTAGATCGCGTGTCTGCTGCTTTGCTGTTCGTTCAATTGAACTTCACAGCGATGAAGCAAAATATGGTGAAATTTATTTTGCAGCATCTAGTAACAATTCTTCAACCAATAGCAGCGAGTTGCTATTGGTACCTTAAAGGTACCATTTCATGCGCAGCATACTGCCGCAGCAACTCGCTGCTATTGGTTGAAGAATTGTTACTAGATGCTGCAAAATAAATTTCACCATATTTTGCTTCATCGCTGTGAAGTTCAATTGAACGAACAGCAAAGCAGCAGACACGCGATCTAGCCGGCCAGTGCTGCTGCAGCTATTCCTTTTCCGTGAGCAGCAAATATGCTGTAGTGAATTTGGATCACGTGACTAATTTGCTGCTGCTGCATGCTGCGTATGAAAAGGCACCTTAAGGGCGCGCAAAACAGTCCCCCGAGACGGTATCGAGGAAAACGCCGGCGTGGCCGCTGGTGGCCGCTCTCAGATTTCTCTCTAGTAGAACTCGTCGTGCGTGTGAATGAATTTTTACGTTTCGTGATCTGGCAACACTGCAGTCAGCTGTTTTCGAAGCTGTTGTTTATCGGCCTGAATTCGTATTTCATTTTCTTAAATTTCCTCGTGGCGTTTAATCCACGCGCGTGTTTTGTTCTTATTAACGTAATCCAAGGAACACGTTACGCGTCTGTGTCAGAAATCAAGGCGCAAAGTACATAATTTGCCGAACAAATGCGTGTTGCAGGTTAGAAGAACTAACCTCTTATTCGATTGGCGAAGTGACGTTCCAATTGTCAGGTATGTCAAGTGTTAGTCAATGGCTACGTTCGGCAGAAAAAGCTGCTTTGCAACTGTTGTAAAATTCATGAATCTGATTGACGTATGCTCTTAAATTCACACAAGATTGAGAGAACACACCAATCAGATTCACGAATTTTACAACAGTTGCAAAGCAGCTTTTCCTGCCAAACGCAGCCATTTTCCGAGGCAATTAGCGATGTGAAAAATCGTATAGAATTAAACGTATTGGATGGTATACTATTTTATATACTGTATACATGTATATATATAATAAACTTAAATCTATTTCAGTCAGTATTTAACAATACAAAGACGACTTTTAGAATTATAATGTCGAAACGTAAGGCCACCAGTTCTACGAGTAAATTACAACCAACGACTACAAAAAGGGGTCACTGGTCGGCTGGTCTACTTAAATCTATGGAGGATCCTGAATCTAAGGTCGAGGAAGACGATCAGATAATTGTCATTAAAGACAAATATCCTAAAGCGCAATTTCACTACTTGGTTTTACCGAAGGAGAATATTCTCTCCATATGGAAAGTCAAGGAGGATCATCAAGATTTGCTTACGCACATGCATAATGTTGCGTGTGATCTGGTAAAAAATCAGGCGAACCACGAATTCATGTAAGGCTCAAAATGAAACAATGGTATTAAATAATCGGCAATCAGTTGTGCATAGAGGAAACTCACCTATTATGAGATAGCGGGATTTCTGTTAAACTAATAGGCAACTGTTGGGTCTGCATTTCTTGCCCTCGAAGCGAAATCTGTCTGGTGGAAAATTCATTGTTAGATTGTGTAATCGTTGCGAAAAAAGATTTGCGATTGAATTTGGGTGTTGAAAACTTGCTATCTCATATTAAAAACCTACCTTATAATAGAGGACTTTCCTCTGTGTGATTTAAATAAAAATGCCAAAGTTTCGCCTCGAAAGTATAAAAATAAAACTGTATTTATTTACTCGAAGTGGCACGAATGAAAGATTACAAATAATTTTTCGTGTTCTTGAGCAGCATAGGTTATCACGCGATGCCCAGCATGCAGAGGCTGCACCTACACGTGATAAGCACGGATTTTAATAGTCCTTGTATGAAAACCAAGTATCACTGGAACTCTTTCACAACGCCGTTTTTCTTACAATCGTCAGGCTTGTATAGATATTTTTATTTAACATTTGGCCAGTTCTGAGTGCACTATGAATTGTCTGTATAAAATAAAATGATTGGACCTTTTAGACATGTGTCGTCAGTTGCGCGAAGAGGGCGAAATCAAAAAGGTTTCTCCGCAGAAGGTTGAGGAGTATCTGAACGCAAAACTAAAGTGTCACAAATGTTCGACGCAGCCAAAAAATATGCCAGAATTGAAGAGGCACTTATTAACTCACATCAATAAATGAAAGGAATGAAATGTAGAGTGTACGTATAAGATAAAACTTTTGTGTGATGATACAAACAATATGAGTGATCTGTTTAAAATAAAAGGATATTTATTTGTTATTTTTATATTACTGGTATATTTAAGCCGGGAAACTCATAGTCAACCCAACTGGCTAGTTATTTAATTAGTTTATTACACACAACGTCTCGACCCTATTCTTTTGGGTCCTTTTCAAGTGATACTGCAAATCAACAACAACGCAGTTATGAACAATGTAAGTTAATAAATAAAAAGGATTTAGTTAAATAGTTAAAAGTTCAGTAACGCATCTAAGTCAGTCGGTTGCTGGTATATATTGACATTTTTTATCATTAAAAAACTTGCAACTCTAACATATTTAATTGACAAGCAAAAAGAATTGCGTTACATTATTGTCCATAAAAATGCCCGATGTTTACGTTGCATAGAAAATAAATTATTATTTAAAATTATGTGTCGCATTAAAGAAACTTTGGGAGGATAAGACAGAATTAATATACATTTGTTTATGCGATATTTCGGAAGATTTATTCTGAATAAATTTGATGTTATCCTTAGTACATCTTGGCGCCTATATTAATTATATCCTAACTATTTACAAAGTCTTCTCGTAGATTACGCGAGTATATATTGACGGTATTTGTGTGTATGCGTGTGTGTATGTGTGTTGTGTATTAGTGTGTGTTACACTTAATCTGTATACATTTAGTAATACTGCAATCAATAGTTGAAACGTTTCTGCTGCATCGAAACAGTAGGCATCTGAACGTCCGCAAGGCCTTGCTGTTGTTACTTGCGTGTTTCGCAGATCGTAAAAGATTTCGTCACGGTGTGAGTGTTGGTATTCTTTTTTTTTAAGTATACGTCTCCTCTGAAAAATTTCTAGCCTAGTTAAATTAGTTATCTCTTCTTTTTAGTGAACGTAGCGCCTTGGCGTTTTGTTTTCTCCTTACGAGGTCACGTCCAAATCGATTATTTCGCTATGATATAGAGGGGGCAGGTCCGAAGCGTACGGACCCGAAGGGCGGGAGGAATCTCGGGAGCCGGACGAACGAAGGGACGCCCGACAACGTTCCTCCGCCCTCTTCGGAAAATCGAAACGCGCCTTTTGTGTGCACCCCTAAGAAGAACGCGCGCGCGTTCCCATCTGAAAGTTTGCAAAGCCCGCACGAAACGTAGGATCTGCAAAGTTTCCCCGCGATGGAAACGACGCGCGCGAGATCCGTTTTCCCTATCTCGTATACGGGGAGGGGAAAAAAAAAGACTTCGACGTGGGTGTGCGAGATACGAGATCGGCGATCGGACTTGTGGACACGTACTCCCTCTCCCCGGAAAAGAAGCACAACGTCGGTGATGTGTGATGTATATGTACACATGCACGGAAATATATTTGTTCCTATGTCGAAAAATATATATTTTTTTTTATGTATGACTTCGCGCGATTAATGAAACGATATACATATGCATATATATATAAACCAAAATTCCACGACACATGTGCTTCGTTCACGGTAGAGACAGATTACGTTGCGAAATTGAGGCGCGATTCGCCTGAGGCGGAACTTGAAACCAAGGGAGGGCGGGGGGGGGGGGCGCGATAGCTCTCCCTCTCGCGATCGGTTCTCACTAGAAGAAAGAAAAAAATCGGAGTCCGGCCAGGGACGCCGACGGTGGTTGTTCGCCCGCTCGTCGTTTCTCGTCCGCCCGCACCGTACGCGGCCCGCCAAAAGCGGTCATTTTGAGCAAAGCCGCTGGGCAGCGAGAACAATGCCGGGACCCGTGGGAGAACGGATCGGCATTTTTTCGAACACCGCACGACGTAACGCGCGCCAACCACCGACCGCCCCGGACGTTCCCCGAATACCCTGTTTATGTCTGCGCCATGCGAGAGAGAGAGATATTCACATATATATGTACATATATATAGAGGGGGGCTAATAAAGCTTTTCGTCGGCGGAATCGCGGGCGAGCCGTGCCGGGAATCAACGAGAATTAAACCTAAACGCGATTTTATCCTATGAACATTTATACACATTTTCTTTCCCCTAACTACGCACTATTCACATTATATAAATATTTTATATATATATACCGCACAATATATCTATATAAATATTTCCGTATGTTTAGTAATGTACAGTTTTTATATACACGGGTCGGAACTACGGCTCGCTCGCGATGTCACGGGTCGAATCGCGCCTAGATTCTTTCCTATCCTCCTTTATCAACGCGCTAGTACGTATTCGCGATAAACGTGTATACCTAAAAACAGCTAAGTCTAACGACAATAGTTGACGTATAATATAGAATATATATAATATATATATATGTACGCAGTAACGTAGCAACAACGCAGTGGTGACGGTAGTAATAGTTAATAGTAGTAATAGCGCTATATACTCTCTAATAATGTATAGTAAATATAGTCGCAGAGCGACGTAGCGAGATAGTTAACTAGTCTGTAAATCTATGTACGAACGTTGCGGCCCTCGACGCGCGACACTTAAAATGAAAAAGAGGAAAAGAAAACGAAAATAAATAATATATTCGAGGCGAGTAACAGTAGAAATAAATTAACGAAGCGCGAGGCCGTGTTTAATTAAATACCTAATTTATACATATGCGAGGAAAATGAATGCTCGTAATACTCGTGCGTGTCGCCAGTCGCGGCAATAATTACGCGAGCGATAACTCTCGCTCGAACGCTACAAATCATACCGTAAATAATAATCAGCACTAATGACAACGATATAACGAATTGGCGATACGCTCTAAGCGAAATTTTACTATAGCGCCTCTTAAAGCTATCAAAACGAGCCTACATTAGTCTAAGAGTCCTTTCTCAAGCGTGTAAAAGTCTTTTTGCGGAAGGGAAAACCAAGTCCCTCGTTTCCTATGCCCCTTTTCTTCACCGCTTCCTCTTCCTGTGAACGTGCGGGGGAACGCGAGTGCGAACAACAACGCCGATCTCTCCCTTGCCTTCGACACCTCCTACCTAATCGCCTAGATCGCACGCCCGAGTCCGCGAGGGCCAGATGACGAGAAGCGTGATAATTAACGGCGAGCGAAAAACGCTGTGGCGAGACAACGACACTTTCCCTTTTCTTCTACTTACGTATCTACTATATTACAAAGTGCCTTTACGCGGCCTGCTCTTCGTAGAAACGCGTCATGATATTTACAGAGATTGTTTACGCGAAAAGGGGAACGAGAATACGAACGCGCGAGGAGAATGGGGGGGGGGGGGATGACGATGAACGACGTGACGAACAATACTGTACACCCGCGAAGAGGGCAAAGATCGCCCGGAATGTCGCGAGATTCCGGGGATCCTTTACAGGCGGCGTAAAACGGTTTTGTGTTTAAAGCTGCGTGGCGTCTCGTTATCCTCCACTGCGTTTTTCGCTTCCTTTTCTTCCCTTTTTTTCCGACTAAATTGACGTCTAAACTCGCGCGGCAACACGTTGCACGCGGCTTTTAATTTCACCTAGATACGCATCGCGTTTTTTATCGCGTGTGTAAATTGGACTATACTTAGGAATAAAGTACTATAATAGCGCCGTGCGAAGTCTGTTTTGCGCGACCGAGGACGCCTCCGTAGAATCCTTCCTAGGACACGATCCGGTCTCTTTTTTGTTTTGGTTTCTTTTTGTTTTTCCCCCCAAAAGCCAATTCGTGTGAAAATCTGTGCTCGCACGTGGGATTCGGATTTTATGCATATCGCGGGAATTGTAAACATCGAAATTTACGGGTGCGTGAACTTTATTTTCCTTTGCTCCAACGGAGGCGACCTCGATCTCACGCGAGTTACGTCACACGGCAACAGGCGCTGCGGATACACAGCCGAAGCCTTGGCTAAAAATTTCTCTAATCCTCCGTCTCCCTTCTATCCTCTCGCGCACGCATCGTGCGGTTCTCGCGCGGATGATGCGATTCTCTCCAAAGGGTCGTCAATAAATAGCGAACGTAAGTGATAATGGACACCGCGCGACCGCGATTTTCGAGACGACGAAGGTCGCGTTTCGGAATTTTTGCCTAGTGAATTTCTGCCTATAAACTGTACAGAGCGCGCGATAAGTCTATTAGTATACTTTATACAACGGGCTAATACGTGAACAAACGATCTGCAATCTCTTCTCGTCGGGAATAGATCGGTCTTAGCGATCGCCACTCGCGGACTTTACCACTCGTTTCTGTCTTTTGGATCTCTCCCATCTTCATCTTAAGCGGTGGTCATCTCCTGCAGGCCGTAACAGTGGACTCGCGTCTCCTCAATTGCTCTGCACCACTGCAATGCGAATCCCTCGGGATCTTCGAGGTAGTACGTCCTGTTTGGCTATAAACGGAAAGAGTACAAGAGTTTAGATACGCGTCTCGAGCTTTGCGTGTTCTTATACGTAGAACAGAGACGTGAAAAAAATAGGATTTTAACATCCTTTTATCAGAGAGGTGTAAAAGTGTGAAATGTCGGATCATGAATTGTTTGAATTGAACAGTGTTCTAAAACCGCTTACCGTGTGGACGAAGAAGATCTTGAAATTCTTTGGCTCGACCCTCAGTGCTGGACTCCAGGGTATCTCGCCCTTGAGCACATTATTGAAAGGATCGACGTAGTATAGGTGTGGTCCGGTTGTAAGAAGGAGCATTCTCCGCCTGGCGAACAGGCCCTTCCTCTTGTTAACGAATCCTTGTTTTAGTATGAGATTGTCATCGACGAAGGGGTGCCACTGATTCGCGGAGCGTTGCTTCTCCAGCCGCATCCTGATCTGTTCCGGCGTCAGGTTGGCGATGTTGACACTGCTGTCGTGGGTGTTATTCGTGCACCTCCTCAGCGGCTTGTCCGCGATAATCTCATTCAAGAACGCATTAACAGCGCGTTTCTCCGCGCCGGTGGTGTCGTTGTCGTCATCGATGTCTTCGGTGCCCAACCAAAGGAGCCTGGTGAGTTGCTTCTGATCTAGACCGGGCTCGAGATTATCGGGCACCCTGTACTGCGACCTCAGCTCCTCGTGCTCCGACGTGCCGGGTAGATAGGGATAAATCGGCGGCGGTGTCTGCTCGTGAAGGGTCTCGAAATCAACGCCCTCGAAGAAGGGATGCGCCCGGATGCTGGGGTAACCGGCGCCGTGCTCGTCCAGGGCGCCCAGTCGTTGCGTCGGCTCCAAAACGAGAAGCTGATTAACGAACGATCTGGCCAGCTCGCAGAAACCGTCCGGTATATCGTAATCGAGTTTCAGGATCTTCTGGAACATTAGATACTCGCTTCTCGAGCGGAAGGGCGGCAGGCCGGCGACCATCTGGTAGACGAGACAACCCAGGGCCCAGAGATCGGACGCTCTGCTCACCCTGTTGTTGGTCAGCAGCTCTGGTGACACATACTGAGCGGTACCGACGAAGGAGCCGCTGCGATCTCTGAAACGCGGTTGCTGTTGAGGGTCCGTAGCCGTCTCCGGGTCTTCCTTGAGGATCTTGGCGCAGCCGAAGTCGGTGATGAGCACGTGCATCTTTTCGTCCAGCAAGATGTTCTCCGGTTTGAGGTCACGGTGAATGATACCGAGCCCGTGCAAGTACTCGAGGCCGCGCAGGATCTCAGCCGAGTAGAACTTTGTGCATTCAATGTCGAAGGAGCCCACCTTGTTGATGTGCGGCAGGAGCTCGCCGTTCTTAGCGTACGACATGACAAAGTATAGTCTCTCCGCGTCTTGGAAGGTGCAGAACAGGCGCACGAACGAGTGCTTGGCATCCGCGAGCATGTTCAGCACCTCCTTCTCGCGCTTCACGTACTCGGTCTTCTTCTGCTTGATTATGTGACTCTTATCGCACACCTTGATCGCGTACTCCTTGGTGGTATGGATATCCTTGGCAAGATAAACCTGTCGGGGTCAAGGAATTCGTTATTCTCCCTCCGCGTTGATCCCGCTATCGCAAATTTCAACTTTTACTTTTCGTTCAAATCGCACGAAAGGTGAGGCGCAAGGTACTTACGGTGGAGAAGCTTCCTTCGCCGATCACCTTGCCGAAGATGAAGTCCTTCGGGGTACGCTTGTGCGTCGGTGGGTTGGTGAGGGACGGGTTCGTGGTCGGTGGAACCCGAGGCGCCAGGGTGCTGGGAGACGCTACCACACCGTTGTTCACGTCGTTCGTCGGTGGAGACATTTTGGACACCGGCCCCTCCACCGTTACTGCCGGCTGTGGCGAAACGGTAAGCGCCTGGTTCGCCACACGCTGCAATAGAAAAGATGCACTTGTCAGGCACACTGTCCGTGGTCGTCTGTGACATTCTGTGTACTCTCCCGCGCGCGCCGATAACGAAATTGCTAAATAGAATCTACAATCTTACAACGCTCCGCCGATAAGCGTTGTAAAACCCGATAAAGTCTCGAGTCAAAAGTCACGCGAGGCCGAAAATAAAGTCAACGGCACACGATACTATTTTTCCTACTGGATTGCTTACGAGAACCAACAAGGACGCAGCGTTTTGGATCAGGTGACTTAGGGCTAAATCCCGATTGGCTCTCGCAAGCGATCCGGTAGGAAAAATAGTATCGTGTACCGTTGGCTCAAGTCCCAGTCTACAATAGATGATTTAAGCCCTAAGCTTTAAGAAATTGTGACCAATCACGGTCAAGAGTGGAATACGCGACTGCGATTAGTCAATTTCTTAAGGCTTAGGGGTTTAAGTCTCTATTGTAGACTGGAACTTGGTGCCGCTTCGCTTCTACGGTCTAATATCAACCTAAACCTAAACCTAAACTTGGGATAGGTCTCTCAAATCCCTCGATCGTTCTGTAGTTTACTAATTAAAAAAAAAACGCAACTGCTTTCGAGACGATCGTCGCCCTTCCGCTAGCGAAAACGTTGGTTCGCGGGGCATTCATTATCCTTTCCGCTCCGGAAGACACGAGAGACGTTCGCGCAGAGCAAGCGGAGGAGGAGGAGGAGAAGGAGGAGGAGGAGGAGGAGGCGCGGACCTCCCGTGTCCGGCACTTAACTCCTCTCATCCGCCAACGGTCGTCCGGTACCAGGAAATCACGTACCGGAAGCATGACGTCACCGCGACCGACTGGCACGTGGTCGCGTCGTGCGGGTCAGAGGATGACGATGAAGAGAGAGAGAGAGAGAGACACCGTTCACACGCGCCACGCAGAAAAGCAGAAATGCATTTACACGGGCACGAGCGGCCCACACGCGCTGGAAGATCAAGGCTGCACGCGGCCGAAGTCCAAAGTTTACGGGGTTAATCACGCGCGCTTTCATAAGCGCGTATTCCGCGCTATTTACATATACCATTTTGCGGAAGCACATCCTCTCTCGATATGCAAATATTTATACAAGAAAAAAAAAATATATATATGCACACACATATGGAGCAATATTCTAATCGCTACGGCTGGACAAGCTGCCGACGTCTCCTGAATACGGAGCGGCCTTAATTATGAGAATTCGAGGGGACCCAAGGGCGGCAGACGCGGGAGACGCGCTCGCGTCCGTTAACAAGATCGCGATGCAAAATTGAGAGAATAGGAACGGGGCGGCGGCTCGGGCGAGGCGCGGGCAAAAACGGGGTTTTCCCTCCGGCGGATTTCCCTCGTTACAACGGAAGAGATTATTGTTGGCCACCGCTCTAGTGAGACGTAGTGCGTAATTGCGACCCGTTTTGCGAGGAGATGCTTTTTATAATGCGCCAAACGACTGGGTGTGCCGTGCTCTCTCACGCGCGCGCGCGCGCCCTGGTTCCTCCTATTCACGTAGCAGGAGTAGAGGAAAAAAAATCCGCAAAGGGATCGGTACTGGAGCGTTAAAAGGCATTATAGCGCGATACAGGTTGAGCAACAGATGTTCCACCTGGTACCTGCCTCGGTGATCTTGCCGAGGGGGGTTGAAGACGATTAAATACTGCGTTTAGAAAGAGGTATGAAATTCAATGGTCGAAGGGCGAGGCCGAAAACCGGCCCGAGAGCTCGAGTATTTCCGCTCCGACCAAGAGCGCGCGCGCGCGAGAGAGAGAGAGAGGGAGGGAAGGGAGAAGGATCGCAGGATCGCGAGAGTCCCCGCGAAGAAAGATAAATGTCTTTCTTTCGTGCGGTCCTAATCGTCCCTCGTTTCCGGCTCGAAAGACGCTCGGCTCGGAGCTCACCTCCTTCCGCTCCGTCATTATCGTTGCACTTCCGCCGCAAAAACGCCGGAGACACACGCTTTGTATACCGAGGATCGCAACAGGTTTCCCGCCTCCCGCGATCGACGGGATCCTCCCGCCGTGTCCTCCCCGCTTTCAAGGGCCTTCGCGGAGGATATTGAGGGTATCAAGAGGACGTTGAGGAACGCGCAAATCTGATCTTCCGAGTCCGCGCCTCGGGGGCGAGACGGGCGGGGCCCGAATTTTCGTCGGTTCCTTTAACGGTCTCGCGGCCCGTGTCGGCGACGCTGGGAACTTGGTCCAAGTTCCAGTGTACGCAGTTGAAAGATTTGCGTTAAATTTAACGGATACCACACGTCCCAAACGGTCCACACAAATTTTTGCGTCAATTTAACATATTGCTCTTGTGTTAATTGAGCGCAAGTGTAAAATTATTAAAATACTCCAAGAGAAGTGTTGAAACAACACAATGTGTACTTATTTCTTTATCTTACACAACACATGTGCTCTATATATTTAAGTAACAAGATTTATCTGTTAAAATTTACAGAATGAAATGTTGATTTAATTCTATATGACATAAGCGCGAGTGATTTCGAGCCGTCATTTGACTTGTTACATCTGTAAAATGTAAGAATTACACTTTCGAAAGTCATTTTGTCACTAAAAATACGTAAATTTTACACAGAATCTATTTCAAATTATTTTGATACTTGCATTTATCTTGTGTTAAAAAATATTGACAGAGTGTTAGTGTGATCATTAAACATATCCGTATTACGTTAAATTAACACAAGAATTTGTGTGGACATGGGGACATGTGATACCTGTTAAATTTAACACAAACTTTTCAACTGTGTAGGATCCGCTCTCGCGATTTCTACCTGACAGCATCCGCATTGGTACGTCGATAGCGGCAATATTAAAAAATCCGTTGAGCCGTGCTGTCTACGCTGGAAAAGTTTCACGATTCGAGAAGCCGCTGGCCGTACGACGTGTTAATTAAGGGAAAAATCCCGCCAGCCCCGGCCTACCGTCGTTACTCGCGAACATCTGCCGTACAATAAGCACGGAGGATCCGAACGTCGCAGGCTCGTCCCGGCGTGTATTCGTACGCCATTAATCTTGCCGGGGTATCTTATCGAGACCAAATAATGATTGAATAATTATGTCTACTCTACTGGAAATCGTGGCGTGATGGATGACGTAAGGGCTCCGCGACTGGCGACAACGTTATGCGCGGCTCGTTGAGTCCAGCTTTACGATTATTTGCGACAGGTGTTCGACAAGGCGAAGCGGCCCGCGGAATCCTCTCAGGGCGGGCCGGTTGTCGGGACGCGATAACAATAACCGCGGGCGGCGGCGGGGCGCGCGAGATCGGCAATTAACTGCTCGCGGGCCGGAGTTAATAATCTCGACGGACCCGTGGATGTTTGCGCAACTGTTTTCCCGCGCCGGGCCGGACTATCGCGCCCCGGGTCCGCGTGAGGATGATCCCGGCGAGAATTGCATAAAGTCGGCGGTGATAAACGCGGGCTCGAACGGCGGACTGGTTCCTCTTGTTTTATAGCGGGATTTTCTTTGCCGGCCCGTCGTAATTTCGGCCCGCCGCGCGCGCGCGCGCGCCTCCCGGCCGGGGTAGCACCGCCAATAAAAATAAACCCCTCCCCCCCCCCTCCCATAAAACCGCCACAAAAATCGTAAAACCGGGGACGGACCGGGGGCCGTCGTCCTGCGAAAAACACGGGCGAGCGCTGTTTGTACGACGGCCGCGCCGGCGAATTAAGTTTTATCACTTCATCGAGCGTTCTCGGCTTTTATGATTTTCCCCGAGCCGCGGTAATGAAGCGCCGCCGCGTTTGTCGGGGAGGACGACGATGACCAACGGCAACGAATACCGTGTTATTCCGCTGTCGAATTTTTTTTCCCCCCTCGCAAACAAGAGAGAGAGAGAAGGGGAGGGAGAGGCGTTTCTTTAATTTTAAGCGGGTACCCTCTAAAAAAATATTAGATTTGAACGTAGGACGCGCAAGAGGGAAATAATCGGGGAGATAAGAGAACCGGAGGGGCGAACGTCGCGATGAAAGGAACTGTGGAAGTAAACGAAACGGGTAAAATTTATGTATTTAATATTGGGGGGTAAATGTGCTCCGGGAGCAAGGAGTTGTCTTTTTGTGGAAACATTCGTGGACAATTAAACGGCGAAGAAGCGCGTGGCTTGAAAACGACGGCGGGTAGACGTGACAAACGTCAAACGCGGCTACGAGAAAGGAAACGGAACGAGTTTGAAAGTAGACGCGGCGCCTCTTAAAGGTGCTATTTAATTCCCGTAGAATCAATGATACGGGAAATAAGAGCGGAACGTCCGAAGGAAGCGCCGGATCGGCGTCGGCGCGGGCGAAAGAAATCTAATAAAAAATATCCGGTCGTGTTGCACAAGTCGTAGCGCGGCGCGAGCGTAAGAGAGAGAGGGGGGGGGGAGGAATAAAATGAGCGGGCGATAAAAGCGGACCGGCGGCGAAAAGCCGCAGGTACGGGTAAACAGCGGGGAGATAGGAGCGATAAATACGCAACGCCCCAATTTCGTGCCACCCCCGTCTCGTCTCGTCGTCCATCGATCACACTTTTGCCGAGGAGGAAGGCGAAAGAGGGGGGGGGGGGAGAGGGCGACAGTACACCCTGGGACCCTCGCGTGCCCGAGGTACCTCAGAGCCATCGACGTCGCGGAAAATCCACTCTGAAATTGATCGAAAATCTCGCGCCCGTAATAAGCGCCTTCGTTTTCATCCTCAAGACTACTTTGTAGCTCGAGCGCAATTTATACTCATTCCGATCCTTCTCCTTGGTAATCTAGAAAGGGAGAACGAGCCCAAGTTAAAGAGAGAAAGAGAGGGAAATTGCCAGCTGACCCAGACCGATCGCCGAGCCGGGGGGTACCAGCGATCTATCGTCTTCGCGGAGGGCGAAAACGCCGTCGCTGCCTCCACACAGCGGTGGGCCCTTTTCCTTTTCTCTCTTTTATCCACCTTTTCTCGTTCTTCTTCCCAGGCCGGTTACGAGGCCGGGCCCCACGGCGTCAACCATCCGT